TTTTTTGTGAAAAAAGAGCACAAGGCAACCCAGGTTTGCAACAGAAATATATGCCCGTTCCATTATTTCTTGAGGAAAGAGTGAGGCAACAGGCTGTGCGTTATCAAAAATGTCAAAATTCCTTGGACACACACGCGAAATAATGGCAATTTTTTCTTGAACGAAAAGATCGAAAGAGAACAAGAAAACTTGAAACGAATTGACGGTACGGAGGTATCTGTACTCTTTCCCTCTCTTCCCACCACCTTCACCAACGAACGAGCAGACTTGAAAGCAAGACTTGACGTGTCTGAAAGGTAGGAGGTTTTCCTTGCTAGCGTCCATTTTTGTTTACTTTTCCATTTGCCATTTCTCCTCTTCTTCGCAAAAACAACCGATAAAATCAGGATGGACACCGAAAAGTTATCGGTTAAATCTGAGATTATTTTATAATTACAGATTAACAAGGGCGGAATTTTATATGGCTAATCTCTTTTTCTAATTACAGGTTAGGAAGTTAAGCTCGAAAATGAGGATTATCTACTTATATGTGAACCTAGTATAACCTTGTATTATTGAATCATGGGGCCCTGTCACACGGTCAGTAATTATCACGTTATTTGGATCGCGATCCAGTTTGATGGATTGATGGATCGCGTACGAATGCTACACGTTCAATATTTATCGCGTCCGTATTTGCATAATTTTTGTGCTGAACGCTTATTATGACGCAAGAAAATATTTTTCTTTTGTGTGAATAATTTGCGGATAATGCACTCCACAATTATTTTAAAATTTCCCAATTTAATTAAAATTTTTTCCATTTGTTTTGAAAGGTTTTAAGCAACGCGAACCAAAGCATAGCGAATAAAGCTGATGCCACATGAAACGCTTGCTTCGCTTTACGTGACAGATTCGCTTTGACAGCTAAGATGAATTGTATGAAAATGCACAAAGCATGCCACATAGATCATTGAAGCTGCAGCGCGAAGCGAAAAGATGGCCAACTCCCATCTTTTTGCGCGCTTTGACAATCAGCCGGTTTAATATTTATTTTGTTTCGTCCAAATTCGAGTATTCATGCTGAAACATAAAACTCAATTACATTGCTGATAATTTTAAAGCAAAATATTTTAAATCCACAGCAATTTTGACGAGTAAAAAAGC